TCTATTCTCTATTTTTGGGGTGATCTCTAAGTAAGAAATGCAGCAATCATTGGAGTAAAGATCTAATTTGCATGTTGGTTCACATATCAAAGTTTTGCAAGATCATCACACCACAGGTACTTGTGCTTATACAAAAACGTTTACAAGAAGATACCTAATTGATTCTTCCCTCCAATTTCGAATACAATCCTAACATTTCCACTGTTTCATTAAACACATAAGTTTCTAGCAGCTCGGTTCGGGCACGGGTAATAGGTATTGACTATTCTGAACCTCCTTATGCAGTACAAGAGAGCAGGCAAATGAAGCACAAAATATTTCCACAAAGCTCAACCTATCTCGTTCTTTTCGTAAAGAAGACTGCCGATTCCCCTTTCCTTAACAGCTTGTGGACAAAAGTATAAGGAGGAGATTCAGGGATGTGTAATTACTTACACCTCTTAAACGCTGATGGACTTTACTCGCCGATACTTTCCACTTCATCATCACTGCCGCCCCCGAACATCGTAGCCATTTTCATGGCCAGCTTTGCAGCCATATCTCTTCTCTGAAAATCGGGCATCAATCTCAAACTGTCACGCATGTTCCCAATCTCAGACATCAACTGTTCCAAATCCTCAAATTCAACATTCGAACCCTCATCTGGTTCTTGGGCTTGGTCAAGTTCTGTGTCTTGGTCAGGTTTTTCTGCATTGGATACCCCTCCTTTGTTGATACTATCATCCAACGCAGCTGTCGAGGTTGAGGCATGGGGCTCCTGCTTACCACAGCTGGTTCCATTCTCTTCTTTGCATTTTAGGACAAGATTACTTTGAGCAGCCAGTCCTCGCATATCTGAAGGTCCAGCAAAACCATTTGCAGAAACCCATTCTTCCGTGTCATCAAATGGGTCAGCTGAACCCGCAGAGAGGACTTCATACTCAAATTCATAATCAGATTCTTCGTCTGACAAGTCTAGCAGAGAGGATTCAAATTTCAAACATTTAGAATTCTACTTAATATAAAATATAGTATATAAACCAGATGTAAGCGGTATAGAATATATAACCTTCTCCTCTTTCAGGTAGTGATGGTTCAGCAATCTTATCGCCTGATTTCAAAATCATTCCAGGCCACATGTGTGCAGAAAGAGCACCAAAAAGCCGTTCAATACCTTGTGAATCGCCATCAACTGACAAACCTGTAAAAAAAAAAAAAAAAAAAAAAACTTTTAACTTAAAATATCTTAAAAAACAGACATTGGGTGTACTGTGCAATCGACATGTTCATTCACCATGATATAACGTTTTTTTAATTTTCACAGGCGAATCAATTCTTTTTAATATTGAAAATGACACGTGAACTCAAGATGTACTCTCTTTCTTACTCGGGTATATATGATGTAAAAGTCTTACTCTCCTAAATCGCTTCAGCATACAAAGACTTATGTCACAACGGTATGCCCTTAAAATTTGATTATCGTGGTCATCCTCTACAGCGATTATGAATTTGTGAATAGACCCTGAAATTGAGTCTGCTACAACTTCTAAACCCAACCCTTAAAATTTTATCAAACACCAAGTGACAATATACTTCGATCGTCATAATTGTACCATGAATGTTTCACTTTTGAGCAGGGTACTTTTATTCCCCACTTTTGCATAAATCTTGCCATAAATATGTCAGAAAGAAGAGTTGCCTTACATTTGTCAAAATCAGCATTTGAAGCACAAGCTTCGACGAACTCAATGTTATGCTCAGTGCACCATTCCAAACATGTGTGCCTAGCCTCCCAAGGTGGCTCGTCATCCCCCAATAAACTGCTTCCTTCAGCCTCGGAGATTCCATACACAGTGAAAGCCGGACCGTCATCAGCAAACGGGTCTCCAAGCTTCTGCAATTGTCTTCTATATACAGCATGAACTGGGTGACCCGGAACAAGATCAACCTTATTCCCTACACATACTAGTATATCAAACTTTTGAAGATCAGTTCGGGACACCCATTTCTGAAGTGCAGACAAAGACGCCAACTGCAGCATAGTGTAAGCAAATTGATAAACGAATCAATAAATCATGCTAAACAAAGTGACAAAGAGTGAGGGGCAACGGCAAGAGACAGAAACCTCAGTTGTGTCGAAAACCAAGATCAAGGCAGCCAACTGGTCATACATTGGGAGGGTCTCAATCGAAAATTCGTCATGGAGATGAGCCATCCATACCGAAACATCAGCAGTATAGTACTTTGTAGAGATATTCCATCTAATTTTTCCAACACAAAACTCATCAAAATTCACATTTACAAATAATTACAAACGAGTTCTTTGTTCTCAAAATTCCTAAAAATTGTATTCTTCTTCCCAAAATTCCTAAAAATTGAATTCTTTGATCGCAAAATTAAAAAATTTACATACCCATTAACCACCAGCTGAGATGACGACGATGACGAATCAGAAGCGTCGTCAAAATCCAAACCCAGTAATCCTGGAATCAACAGATCACGAATTTAATAGCGGTCAAAGGAGAGAGAGAGAGAGAGAGAGAGAGAGAGGGATTACGAGAAATAAGAGAGCGTTTGCCGACGCCGGGGGAACCAAGGAAGAAGATGCCGGGCCGCTTCTCCAGAGAGTCTCCTTCTTTTGCTTGAGCTTCCATTTCTCTGATTAATTTCGGAGAGTGATTAAGTTAGGATCTTCGCAGATCTAAAACCCTAATTCTTCGACCTCAATTTGATGAAGACAATGACTGACTTTCTCATCAGACTTTCCTATTGCAAGTGCTACACGGCAACAGGGCTCGGCTTTCTTTTCTTTTTTCTTTTTATTTTTTTGGTCAGACTAGAGAAATTTCCTAAAATAAAGTCAAATGAACATATTACATCAAAGATCAGCATATAGAAAGAAGACGTTTTTTATGTAAATAAAGCATGAGTAAAGGTTCTTTGTTGTAGCAAATTACAAATAGTACAAAAAGGAAATAAAGATGAAATTGTTTCAACCCAAAACAGATCCTCCATAAGGGCTCCAAGGTGACTAATAGAGAAAACCCTAAGGGTGCGTTTGTTACACCAAACTGTCTCGGACTAGATTAGATTCAGGGACTAAATTGGACTGGCTTATAATAGACTAAGCTAGACTAGCTTAGTGAAACGTTTGGTGTAGTGTCGGACTAAGAAGCATGATAATAACAAAATTTTATGCAAATACAAAAAAATTGAACCCCAACGTCAACATTTTCTGCAAAATCCAAATCCTAACATCCAAATTCTAGAAAAATCATAACTAGATGATCACCACTCCGGAAAATTCAAATCTTTCACTTGTATGTGCATGACCAAAAAACCAATTTGAAAACCTCAAATTACATTTTACAACCCATAATTGAATCTTTCCAATGAATCAAGAGAACCCAAATACCCCATAGAACAGAAAATTCAACCCAGTAGAAACACAATGTAGTCAGCAGCAAGCAAACCATAATCAAATATTTCCAGATCAAGAAGATATCCATTGATGCATTACGTTATATGAACTTTGAGCACCTGGTCGTCTCACGGATATGGAATGGAAGCAAACCCATATGAGTCTGCAACCTCGATGGCAACCACGGCCTTTGAGCAACGATTTGATACATAATAATATATAATTCATTCAAACACATATATAGAATACGACGAATTAAAATTGCTATCCCAATTCTCAAACATATATATATATATATTATAATCTCAAACAACACCATTAACAATCCCAAATCAATATTCACAACCTAGAATCAAGAGAAACGAACTAATAGAATTTTAGGTGATTCTTCCGAGTTTTTCTCACCTTTTTATTTTCATCAAAGAATTGAAGATTCTTCTACAAATTTGCATGTTTGAATTGAATTTGGGGTTTAAGTACTGGGTAAATTTGAATATGTCAAGCTCTCTTTCTTTGTCTAACGACGAGGGCCCAGGCGAGCTCAGAGGAATCGGACAACGGCGAGAGCGGGACCTTCCTCGGAGCTTTGCAACACAGAAGTCATTGTTAGAGCTTTATGCAGCTCCAATTTGGTCGGATTGCCGAGAATATCGCCATAGTTCTCTCGGATTCGAAACAAGGGAATGGTTTTGGTGTGGTGCTGTGATCTCGTTGGAGAGAGGACGCAACGCAGACGAAGCAAGGTCTTCGCAGAGGGAGGACGCCAAGCGGCGCAAAGGAGACGAAGCAGGTCTTAGCAATCCCGTGGTTTTTTTGGGGCTTCGCTAAGACGACCTAGCGAGGGAGATAGTCCACACGATTCCGGATTAGTCCCACTTAAGTTAGTCCCCAAGCATACCAAACATGGGACAATAATCCTAACTAGTCTAGTCCCACTTAAGAAGGTGAAACAAACACACCCTAAAAACCTAGGTTAGGAATCATCCTCCGCAGTTGCTCAAAAACCAGAAACAGGCAACAATCCACATAACCAGATTTGCACAACAAAATAACAATTATTCACCCTTACTTCAGGCCATACACAGACCTTTACAAGCCCCAAATAAATAACAATACTAAACCACATAACAACAACATCATAAAAACCAAAACAAAACTGAAAATTATCACCAATAAACCGGCAAACCAAAAGGAGAAGCCCAACCTCATTGCATAACCACCACTCGATGACCAGCAAGAACAAAGTTCAAATGTCAGAGAAGTAGGATATGAATTCAGAACCAAAGAAGGAGGTGGGGCAAAGCTCGACACTGAAACCAAGTGCTTGGTTTTGCACACCTTCAACTAAATGAGTGACGACTCGCTCTTAGGGTGGGGTTTCTTTTCTTTTCTTCCTTTTTCCTTCAAATTTTAAGTGACATTGTAAATTCATTTGATACAAACTTAAATAATCTAGTTCAAACTTAGTTGTATATAATGTACGTTTTGAATATGTAAAATTAGTGATTTATCCTTTGTAAAATAAATTGTTAATTATTACGAGTTAAATAATATCGATAGGCTAGTATGTAGGTCGAATTAATGTTAGGCACGAGTTTTGTAAAAAGAAAAATTGTTACTCACGAGTAACTTGATTTTGATTAGTTTCATGATTAACAATAAATACTTTGGTAAGAATTTTGGTGAGCCGTATTCAGTTATTCGGTATATGATTATTATAATTAACAAGAGTGTTTGCAATAATATCCGTCTAATGGGATACAAGTTTGGGTTTTTTTTTTTTTTTTTTTTAACAAACGATATTATCTACACTAAAGAGAAGTGAGTGGGTTTAACCTCACAATGAGCTAGCAATAATATGGTTCAAATTTGTTTTTGGCGAGAATCGAACCTAAAACCTCTCATTTACAAATGAAAGGGAATACTACTACACCGTAGTATTAAACGGTGAGATGCACGTTTGGTTAAGTAGGCTGTTTTAAACTTCAATTAGTACTTTGGAATATGCTTGAAGGGATTTCTGAAGCTTATAAGAAGTGCAACCAGTCGAACAAAACATGTCACCTTAGAGTCTATGACCCAAGAGAATTGATACTTTGGCATCAAAGATACTTGTGCGGCATTAAGGGAGGGATAGTGATGATTACAAAATCACTTTCAAAAAAAAGCAATCCGCTCATAAGCACTTTCTCCAACTCAAATCCTGTAGTCATAATCCCACTCTAAAACCAAACCAAACTTTCAAACTCTCTAAACAATCAAATCACTTATCATTGGAATCCGCAGATGTATCGGCAGTAGCTGGTTTTACACCTGCAGCAAAGAACTCGGATATAACTTCTAAAGGCATGCCCTTCGTCTCAGGCACCTTCAAGTAAACAAATATCCAGGAAACGATGCACCCGACAACATAGATGCCGAAGACACCGGTGAATCCAACAGAAGAGAGCAGGACAGGAAATGAGTAAGTGATGATGATGTCTCCAATCCAGAGTGCAAGGGCACAAATGGCAATGCAGAGGCCACGGACACGCGTAGGGAAGATCTCTGCGCATAGAATGTTCGGGATTACTCCAAACGCCATGACGAAGCAGCAGAGATAGACCACAACACTTGCTGTGGAGATTGTTGCATTCACAACAGTTCCCAAGTTGACAATGTTGACAAGTACTAGTAGAGTGAGGGACAATATCAGGATTGGTAATGTGGAGAGCAGCAACGACCTGCATACCAAGAAAGGCAAAAAGGAAAGCTTATTTTCCCCAAATATACACAAATAAAACTGGTTACAAATTTTTAGTCTAAAAATAGAACTGGAGGGGACACTTAACAAACCATGAAGGACACTAAACCGTGTTTTATTACGTTTGGATAGTGTCCCCTATGAATGATTTTGATTAAAAGTTAGTAACCGGCTCTATGAAATCAAAAGTGTTAGAAGAGAGAATTACCTTCTGCCGGCTATATCCATTAGCCACATGGAAGTAGCAATGCAAGGAAGCATTAAGAATGTTGTGATGGCACTTAAGAAGAGAGATGCAGATGTCGGATTCAGCCCTATATTAGATAGAAGAACGGAGACCCCGGCTTGCTGATAGAACTGAGGAGTGTAGTAGAGAACACCATTTATGCCAGAAATCTGCACAGTTGAAAAGAAAAGACATAAGGCGGCTGACAAAGAAAACAGTTTTTCAAAATATTTGTGGATTTTTTTAATAAAAATCCAATTGTTTTATAACCCGTAAGCACTTCAAAGTTTTTTCGTGATAAACCTGCTGAAGAATTTGAAGTCCAATCCCTACAACTAATGCACGCTTTACTCCCGGTTCAAGAAGATCTCCCCATGTCGGCCCTTTAACAACAGCTTCTGATGGAGGAGCCACTTCTGCTCGAAGAGAACGCAGACTTGTTAGTTCCTTGGCAGAAACAGCAGGTTGGCTAACCAGAGCAGCAGCATGAATGAGTTCACTTTCTTGCCTTACACCAGAAACTGAAACAACCGATGCAGGCCGAGACTCAAGTGCACTATCCTGGTGCAGATACACTCTTTGCAATCCTCCTTCCTTCTTCCCGTCTTCACCTACTCGGTCAGAATATTTATAAGCTAGCTGCCAGCCTCCACCTATGTCCATACTACTACTGACAGCTGCCTCACTAGCTTCTACATTTCCTTGCATCAAGATTGCATAGCATCTCACACCTAAAGCACTACCGCCAGACCTAGGCGTTCCCATGCTCGTTGTTTGACGTGAAATCAATGGACTTCTCAAGCTGTCATCGCAATAAGCCCCAGAGGCTTCAGATTCGTGATCCTCATCATCCGTCTGGCTCTCCATGTCCCAGTGTGCATTTTTATTATGATACTCCCCGACATTCAAATTGCTACCTAGATTCGGATAAAGCATGCTGCCTTTACTTCCTTTTTCGGAAATCTTCTCGTGGACACTGCTAAAGAGAGTGACCAGAGGATCCACGAGAGGGATGCTTTGGTTCAACGCGCTCCCATGGTGAGATATTAGACTCTGTCCAGTTGCAGGCTTGGCGATATATGATAAGCCCTCTTGAGGACCATAGAGCCGTATTTGATTTGCCTGATTTTCAGTAAGCACATTGGCTGGACTAATGATGAACTCTTCTAATGATGTCTCTTTGCCAGTGTTAAGACCCTCAACTAGCAAGGCTAACTCACCTGTGCATCATAGAAGCCAAAATGTTAGCTCGAAAATGTCAATGGCATGAAATAAATGGGCCCTATAAATCTCGACGCTCCTTTTTTAGCTTCTGCACTCCGCTTGTGAGCGCAAAGCAAATAGTTATAAAAATTAGATTTGGAGTGCAGATACTAGAAGATGAGTGCTAAAATCGCTTCCCTAAAAAAAGGGAGAACAAAACAAGGACGGATATAGGCACCTGAAACATCTTCCCTGCCATTAAGTCTTTGCAGAACTTGTTTGGCCTCGAGGATTCGACCCTTGCTCACAAGCCATCTAGGGGATTCGGGCAGGTAAAACACTGTCAAAGCGAAATAAAGTAGAGATGGAATGGAAACAACTCCTAGCATTAATCTCCAGTTCGGCAAATCCATCAGTGACATTCCAAACACCATGCAATAGGACAGGAACATCCCACCAGAGCCTGTGAACTGTGGAAGGGTATTCAACCGTCCTCTTATATCAGGGGGTGCTATCTCAGATATATAGGCAGGCACAAGTGTAACAGCCAGACCAGTTCCAAATCCGTCTAGTAGCCTCGCGAAAAGTAAGACGTAAACATTGGGGGACAATAACATTACCAGACCACTAATGAAGAAAAGAACCGATGAAATGATTAGCATTGTACGCCGCCCTAGCCAGTCTGATGCCGGTCCAGAGAATGTTGTTATGAATGTGGCTCCGATGAGCGATGAGGCTGCGATTAGCCCTTCAAATGTTGGTTCACTTTCCAATTCAAATTCCTTTTTGATATAAACAACAGATCCTGCAACATTTTGTGGGACAAATAGAGAATTAATAGAATTATTAACACTAGAAATACGTGATTAAACACATAAAACACATAAGATTTATGGTACATGCCTGCAATGACTGAATTATCCCATCCTTGCAACAGGTTCCCAATAGCTGCAGCAACCGCTACGAAAACAGCTCCCCTCATTTTTTTTCTTGAGTGACCAAGTACAACTTTCGAAACCCAAAAGAAATTCAGATAACAGATGCAAAATTGCTGACTTAATTTTTTTTCAGATTAACTATTAGAATGAACAAAGATTAGTAGGGTTGTGTTCTCCAATGGTAGTCATCAAACCTGCGTAAGGATGTCGGAAATTATGAATGAAATGAACAGATTTCAGACATGTTTAAACCTATGTAATGCAATTTTTTTTCGCCAAAAAAACTGTAATGAAATTTGAATTTTGAATAGAATAAGTCGAAATCTATACGTTTAAAAATTTTCTGAGATGTTAATTGGTGGGTTTTTGAAACTGCAAAAAGCATTACCTGTTGAAACGTGAAGTTTTAGCCACTTGTGACCGAGGAACTTGATTTTGCAGATCTTTTTGCAATATTTAAACTTGGAATTTGAATTTTGAAGGAAGAAGACAGGGAATATGAGAGTGACAATGATTTACATAAGCTCATGGTTCTACAATTATAACATAATTGGTAAATTTTTTTATGTTCAACAGTTTGGCAAGAGAAAATTACGTAGGAAATGTAATTGTAACAATTTTTACTAATTAATTCTGTAAGAAACAATTTTGTTAATTAATTTACTAAATAGGTAAGTGAGACAGTCAACAGATATGAACAGATGAATATATGCATGAATTTAATATTGGAAATTTACTCTAGCTTCCATTTATATAAACAAATTGGACCATTAGTGAATGGTGCAATTATAGAAGATGTATAAACCCTTTGCACTTGAGGTCCTCTATTTCGATTCTCCTTATCCAATATCGTTTGTATTAAAACGTTATGATTTTTTTTTGGGCAGTGGGGAGGACCGAAGACCTACATAAGAACAAATTTGAAAAGAAATGGACCTAGTTCATCTCAACCCAAAATGTTCAAATTGGGAGACTCGGACTTGAGACTTTTTTTTTAAATTGGGAAAAGAAACCAGCAGGCTAGTTATAAAACGACATCTTGATTAAGCGTTTAGAGTTTATATTAGAAATAAAACCAAATATAGACCTAAATCCATAGTTCGTTTCAAGAGATGACCAGCTAGAATCTCACATATCCAAAGATTATATATACAACAGGACAAATCAAATGTGAATATAACAAAGAACAAAACTCAAAACAACATGATCATCAATTCCTTGACTATCAAGTCAACTTTTCATCAATTTCTGCCTGCTTTGCACCCACAGAAAAGAACTCAGAGATAACTTCTAAGGGCATTCCTTTTGTTTCTGGCACCTTTAAGAAAACAAACACCCAAGAAATGGTGCACACAACAGCATATATAGCAAAAACACCAGCAAGGCCAATCGACGTGAGCATGATAGGCAGTGTGTAAGTCACAATGATGTCTCCAATCCAAAATGTCAGGGCACATATGGCAATGCACATGCCACGAACCCGAGTCGGGAAGATCTCCGAGCAAAGGATGTTAGGGATTGGTCCGAACCCCATGACAAAGGTGCAGAAGTAGACCACAACGCTGATGGTAGAAATTGTTGCATTGACAACTGAACCCAAATGGACAAGTTGTCCGAAAATTAGTACTAGGAGGGTGCCGGTTAGTACCGGTAATGTAGTCAGCAACAGCGACCTGCAGCGAAGACAGACGAGTAAGAGATGAAGATAACAGTTGATGGTTTACTTGTGGAGCAAGGGAACTACTATACCTTCTGCCAGAAGTATCCATTAGTCTCATGGCAATGCCAATAGACGGAAGCATCAATAGGGTTGTGAGAGCACTTATGAGAATAGATGAAGAGGTGGAACTAAGGCCTAAATCCGATAGGAGAATTGCCACCCCTGCTTGCTCAAGAATTTGGGGAGTGTAATAAAGAACCCCATTTATGCCGGAGAACTGCAAAGACAAGAAAACAAGCAGACAATATTCAAAACTCTTAGACGGATTAATTAGGAGTGCCTAGTACATATTACAATATAACTATTTCTACACATTTACTCAAAAGCATGAATTAGTACCTGCTGAAGAATTTGAATTGCCACCCCGACGAACAATGCACGCTTAACTCCTGGTTCTAAGAGATCCTTCCAAACGGATCCTTCAACAATAGTGTCCTGGGTCTCAGTCTTTCCTTCTCCGCGATGCTGGCTCAGTTGGTTCCTCTTGGAAATTAGAGAAGGTTGGCTAACCAGAGCAGAAGCTTGAAAATATTCGCCTTCTTGAGCCATTTCAGGACCGGCAGCAACTGAAAGCATTGAGCCTCGTCGAGACTCAAGTGCACCCTCCTGGTGCAGATAGACTCTTTGGTACTCTTCTGTCTTTTTTCCATCTTTGCCAACCTTCTCAGAGTATTTGTAAGCCAATGCCCAGCCACCGCCAATGTCCATACTACTCACAGCTTCACCACTAGTCCCCGGCATGAGGCTGCTATTGCGCCTCATGCCAAAGAAGCTACTGGACTTTCTAGGCATCATGTCATTTACCATACTCGCTGATTTTTGACCTGAGAGCAATGGCCTTCGAACATTGTCATCGAAATCAGCTGCATTTCCATCCCCCTCCAAATCCCAATTCTCCATCTTGTCTTGGCTTTCAGGCGGCACCACATTTAGCACACTGCCCATGTTGAGAATGCTGCCCATGTTAGGCAAATTAAGAAGGCTGCGCATACTACCTGTGTTTTCGGGAAGCAGCTTCTCATGGACACTGCCAAATAGAGTAACAAGTGGATCCACATAAGGCACATTCGGATTCAACAAGCTTCCTTGTCGTGACACCAAGCCAAGATTGGCTTGTCCTGTGACAGATTTCGCAATCATTGAAGCCCTCCCTCCAAGCATCGAAGCCCTCCCATCCTCCGGTCCATACAGCCTTATTTGATCTTTATCTGAAGCCATTTCCTGGCCCTCACCGCCCTCATTGGCTGGGCCAATTATGTACTCTTCCAATGATGCTTCCCCTCCAACTCCAAGTCCCTCAAACAGCAAAGCCATCTCACCTGCATATCAATCAATCCTAAAGAAAATTAAGCATTCAAAAAATCGAAAAGGGAAAACCCGGCTATATTTTTAGACATAAGCACAATATCTTCTCCAAAAACATAAGCATTCATAAATTCAAATGCACCACATTATGCACCTGCAACATCTTCCCGTCCGCGTAGTCTCTGCAGAACTTTCTTAGCCTCAGCCATTCTTCCCTTACTAACGAGCCACCGTGGAGACTCAGGCAAGTAAAACACAGTCAATCCAAAATACAGCAAGGAGGGAATAGAAAGAACCCCAAGCATCAATCTCCAACTAGGGGCATCCATCAGTGACATACCAAACACCATGCAGTATGAAAAAAACATCCCTCCAGAACCAGTAAACTGTGGGAGAGTATTAAGTAGCCCTCTGATTTCGGGTGGGGCAGTTTCAGAAATGTAGACAGGGACAAGAGTAACGGCTAGTCCAATCCCAAACCCATCTAGTAGCCTTGCCAATAGAAGAACATAGACATTTGGAGCCCATAGCATTACCAAACCACTGAGAAAATATAAAACTGATGAAATTATCAGCATTGGACGTCTTCCGAGCGAGTCTGAAACTGGTCCTGAAAATGTTGTGATGACAGTGGCACCAATCAAAGACATGGCTACTATTAGCCCTTCGATCGTCGGTTGGCTTTCCAACTTAAATTCCCTTTTGATGTAAAGCACAGCCCCTGCAAATTTGATTTGTAATGTCACAGCTTCCATCATAAACTATAAATCACACAACATAATGCGCCTAGTGTGTGATACATTTTCGGGTAACAAAGAAAACCTATGCCTCACACGACTCACATTAAATCCAGATACGTGCAATCATTTGCAAAAGAAATTATTATTTGTGCCTCAAATGAGATCTTAAAGATTTGTTATTTAGATTAGCATACACCCAAGTTCAAATACGCTCTTCTAAAATATATATTAGAGTAAAATGTCACTCAAATAAAAAATATATTATTTAAACTGTACCTGCAATGGTTGCATTGTCCCATCCTTGCAACAAGTTTCCTATTGCAGCAGCAATGGCTACAAAAACAGCTCCCCGCATTCTTTCTGCTGCCACAAACAAATAGGAGGACCTTTGAAATCCAGAAGGGAATTCAGCTGAGAGAGAGAAACTATTGGACTTCGTAGCATCAACCTTTAAACATAATTTTATTAGAAATGAATGCCAAACTTGAATATATATTTGATTTCCTGGAAAGAATGAAAGAATTTACCTTTCAAGAAGAGAGAGAAACCATGAAATTAAAATACATATCTTCTAATCTCAAAGCAATGTAATAAGTTGGGGAAAATTTTACAGTGGTGAAATGAAGAGAGAGAGAGAGAGAGAGAGAGAAGTGATCTAAGTAAGTGCTTTTGGGTTTTAACAGTTTCCAACATGTTTGCCTCTTTTGAACCACACACAACATGTAGCCCTCTTCTCGCGCTTAGATAGTGGGCAACTGTTAACTACCTTATTTTTTTTCTTTCAAATTTCTCCTCTAATACCGGTGATGTAAAGAGTGAAACAATCAATGAGAGCAAAACTCAAAGATTAAAAAACTAAATAAAGAAAGTGTTTTGTGTGGTGGTTCAAAATTGGCGTTAAGATTTACTACTGAGAATGGTTTGTATAGTTGTTCAGGTATGTGTTTAGTCTCCTTGGCAAGGACAGGCCCAAGTATTGGACAGAATTTTCAATTTGCTTGAAATACGGGGGCAGTACGTTATATGTTATCATAAAAGTGGAGGAATGTTTTTTTTTTTCTTCAAGTGTCCCTCCATTTATATAATGACATAGATTAATATTGCGTTATGATGAGAGGTTGATAATTGAATTTGAAGTTTACTAATAAATTTTAGTTTTATTGTTAATTTTATCTTGTAGTTGATGGTATTTATGCAATAGGTAAAAAAGACAATTCACATGTAAAGTTTAAGTTAGGTGTAGAATAAGGTTATATTAGTTTGAATAAAACGTTCCAAATATTAAAAATAAGCACGTCTTGAACAAATCTAAAACAAATCTTAAACCAAATACAGTGCATTAAAACATAATCCATCCCTGATATTGGGCACATTGTTTTTTCCAATACTGTTATCTGTAAAGCCACCGTCTTCACCTATAAAATAACTCACGACTGAGTTGGTATGCACACAATTGCAATCCAGTCATATATCATTTTATAATTCCTTTAAGTGTTGATTCTCATTTTGAATATGATCGAGGACATCTATGAGGCATTTGAAGGACGAGATGAGAACAAAGATGTTAATTTTATACAGTCATACATGATGTGAAACCAAATCGAATCGATGATTTATCAGAGGTATACATTCCTAACATTTCATCTATCCAATCTTTCATTTTTTTTTTTATACACCAACATTCTTTATTATCCTTGGTTTTATGTTCTTTTATTATAAGTGACATTTTTTAACAAACGATAGTATTTATACTGAGGGAGTGAGGAGTGAGCTAAACCTCAAAATGAAGAGGAATACCAATAGATCGTAGTACTAAGTAATGACATTTGTTTTTTTTTTTTTTATGTAAATCAATTATACTTGAAAATAGTTAACTTTTATTGTTTTAAAAACTTCAAATACTGTGTATGAATTTCAACAAATTTACCATCTCATATCTTTAGTTTCTATTATAAATGGTTTCTAAGATTGATTCACCGTCTTTATTTTGGTCATTTAATTTCAAAATGAATAAATATTGTCCATGAGATTTGATCTAGCACATCAATGTAATCCATGTTGTCTAATTTTGTCAAATCTTTTGTTAACGTGCACATAAACAGGTTTCACCAACCCAGCTTATACTGGGCTTCTACTATTCTTAAAGCAACTCCACCCCGACCATCTTCAACACTTGGACTAAAACCTAAAATTTTTAACCCAGAAACAGCTTTTCTGCTCCAACTCTTATGTCCTAAATTTTTTAGCCTGAGTTATTAAAGAATAAATTTAGACTAATTTTTTTCTTTTAAAGTAATTTAAAAAAAAAATTATGTACACTATCATAATTTAATTTTATGAACATTTTAACCTAAAAATATCTAAATTCCGATAAATATTAAAAAATTACTAAATTTGGGTGAATTTTGAGTTAAATAATTTTTTAAATTATTTTAGCCGTTAGATTTAAATTTGGGCCGTTAGATCTTTTTTTTACCAGTTAGATTTGATTATATTTGATTTCAGTCGTTGGATTCAACAAATCCTAGAAGACATGCATATGTGGGTGGGGTCCCGATGGTGGTGCTCACACCATTTTCTCGGCTAAATTCTGGAGGAAATTTGACTTTTGTTTGGCTTTTAACTTTTAACCCACATATTTAGCATAGGTTAGGTTGAATTTGGAAAGAGAGGAATAAAACCTAAAAAATAACATTTAATCCAGAATTATGTTTGATCTGAGAACGATAATGACCCAAGTTATTGGGCAATTGGCAATTATTATCATAGTAAACATTAATGACTTGAGTACATCGTCACTCCGTAAAAAAATTGCTCGTGCAGTAATTTCATTTTGCTTGTTCCATTTTTTTTTTTTTTTTTTTTTTTTCCATTCTTCTTTCTTCGTTCTTCCTAGAAACCCAGTAAGGCCAGCATCCGTCCCCTCCAGATCCCTTCCCAGTAGAAATTTTGGTTTTTTTTTTTTAATTTTTATTTTGTCAATCGAACCCTCGTTTCCTTCGACCTTCTTCCTCCGCATATCTCAAAATTCTCAGCCTATTTGATTTCGTCCAAAATTATCAGCCGCTGCTTTGGAGCCAAATCAAAACCCAAGACTCCACCTCTTCCGCTGCCCCGACTGCGCAAGGCCAGAACGCCGTCAAGCTCTACCTCCATGTCGGCTGCAACACTCCCAAGACCAAGTGGATCGTCTTCGAGAAGACCGCCTCATCCCCCGACCACCGTCTCCTGCTGCTGAATGACTTGCAAATTTTTTTTTGTCATGCAACATTAGCTTGACGTCATATAGCCTCAAGCGCAAAGGCAGGCGAGAATAGCCTGATTGCTGAGTCTGGGGGAGTAAGACCCACTGATTTGGGTGGGCTGGAGCTGTTTTTGTTGGAGTAAGGGGATTGAATCATCCATTGCAAGAGCAAGTGGAAGGGACGAAGTTGCTCTTAGGCGGACATGCTTGGAATTGTGGTCGAAGTGGTATGGATAGCTTGCCATAAAACGGGTCTAAAGTTGGTTGTACGTGTGTAATTTTTTTTTTTTTCAACATAAACTTCAGAAAATGTAAAGAGATAGAAACCTAAGAGCCCAATAAATTGGCTTAAGGTGTCTGTTCAATTGAGATTTTGAAATATTTTAATGAATTAATAAATTTATGGGTTTTGATAGACTTATTGATTTTTAAGTGAATATCTCAAATTCTCAAGGGGATATGATTTGAGAATGATTAAATACACTATGAAATATCTCAAATTCTCTAGAATTTACTTAAATTTTTCAAATTCTTTAAAAGTTATTTATAATTTAATACATCTGAAATGTTATAATTAAATACACTATGAAATATCTGCCCGAATTGCTTCAATCCGTAGAGTGAATGCCTCAATCGAAATAAGATTGAAAACAAGAAAAGGATTTGTGACACAAATGGGCATAATGTACAACAAAATTTGGATTTTGACCTATTTCATAAAATATGGCTGTAACTGAAGCCCAAAACCAATTGGGCATATTATATAAGTTTTGGGGTTCAATGGCCTATTTTGAGCGAGCCCAAGTTTAAAAAATAAAAAAAAAATAGATTTATGACACAAATGGGCATAATGTACAACAGAATTTGGATTTTGACCTATTTCATAAAATATGGCTGTAACTGAAGCCCAAAAACCAATTGGGCATATTATATAAGTTTTGGGGTTCAATGGCCTATTTTGAGCGAGCCCAAGTTAAAAAAAAAAAAAAATTGGATTCATGACACAAATGGGCATAATGTACAACAAAATTTGGATTTGTACCTATTTTCATAAAATAAATAAAATAAAAAGTTTGTAACTGAAGCCCAGAACAGATTTGGGTCAATTTTCATAAAAATAAAAAGGGCCTGTAAATGAAGACCAGAACCGAATTGGGCATTTTTCAGAGCAAGCCGACCCAAACCCGTCAGTTTTGGTATCAATTCAGCATACACTCTCATGCCGAACCGAACCGTACCGAGTTAATTCATTTTCGGTTTTAGTAGCAGCCCTGTACCAAGCCGTACCAAATTGAGCCTAGGCCTACTTCTAAACAAGTATATATGTACATAAAAGAAATTATAGTACAGTGAATGTGCAAAAGATAAAATTAAATTAAAAATTAAAAAATTAAAAAATTAAAAAAAAATTAAAAAAGATAAAACTTTGTGGAATTTGTTTTCTTGTATATATCTCTTCTTTCAGCAGCTAGAAATGTCAGTATACTATAATTTCTAGCAAATGGTCCAATCATGGAATTAGCATTCGTGGAATCTGTATACATGGAGATTACTTCAGGTGAAGTATGATTATACGGTCCAAACACGACTCGAAGTTCTTCTGTTGATCCCAGAGTTCTTTTTCGACGGCCAGACAACTCTATATCCAAGCAATGTTTGAGCTGAGACGATACAACATCCATTGTCGCTCTATGTTGGGAGGTGGAGGCTGTGCATGCCATTCCCATTTCTATTGATGTATATATAACTTCTACGTTCATGACATAACAACTATGTCGGCCATTTAATAATGTGTGGACTGGTGCACCAAGTAACGTGCCGGTACGTGTAGCTGTTATACTAAAAAAAACTCTTAAGGGAACCAAGTATATGCATGAATCTGTGCCCGCCATAAGATAAGGAAGAACTAGGCTCTTTTGCTCTCTATTTCTGTAGAACTCAAAGGATCATGAGTGGACCTTTGATGAGAACAAGAGGTTTGGAGCTGTTCTTACAGATCTGATCATTGACGACGATACCCAAGACTTCTTTGAAGAACTACGCTCAAGAGTTCCTGGTGAATACTGATGAGCAAGATGAGAAACACTTGGAAGCATTGCTTCAGGACATTT